TTACAACTAGCTTCGTCAGGCAACAGCCAGATTTGTTGATGAATCCTCCTGTTTTGTTCCTTAAATAGAGGGAGAGGTGTGATGACGTCACTCGTGTGGGGGTGGGGGGGGGATTAATGAATGCATATAAATGATTATGGGTATCCAATGCCGTTTGTGTTATTTATATAGTAATCAACCAACATCATGCACGCGCGTTATGCAAGCCCATTATTCTTGTACCTCCTCTCGATGGTGATCCCTATTGATTAACGTTGGTAATCCCTATTCATTGGCTGGGTCGGGTGTTGGCGGGTTTAACGACACTTGTGTATATTTACGAGATCTAAAACAAAAAAATCGATATTATGGATGATATTGATCGCGAAAGCTTACGTGTTAAACTGACTAAACTAAGCTATTTTGTGTCTTTTAGCGGGGCAGCTGGCTTAACGGGATCGTCTGTGTCACAAATGTCAGGAGCTCAAAGTCATCATGCCTGGTGACTCCACTCGATCACGAGCCTTCAGTGACCCCTGCTGGTAGAGCATTCACCTCCACCCTCATCACAACCGTGCCCTTCACTCCCAGCACAACCGTGCCTATCACCACCACCACAGCCGTGCTCGTCACCCGCATCACAACCGTGCCTATCACCACCACCACCACCCCTCCCGATGGGGTCACAATTGGGAGAACGCAAACATCGTCCCAAATCAGCACCTCGTGGAGAATCCCACCTGCCAGCCATTAGTATCAGAACTGGCTAAGGCAGGTACAATCACGTATGAAAAATATGGAAACTAAACGAATCGCCCAAATGTGATTGCGACAAACCGCAACAAAGTGGAACACTTTGTGAATCTATGGCTGTCTGTGAGTCTATGGTCCTCTACGTGAGTCTATGGTACTGTATGTGAGTCTATGGTCCTCTACGTGAGTCTATGGTACTGTATGTGAATCTATGGCTGTCTGTGAGTCTATGGTCCTCTACGTGAGTCTATGGTACTGTATGTGAGTCTATGGTCCTGTATGTGAGTCTATGGTACTGTATGTGAATATATGGCTGTCTGTGAGTCTATGGTACTGTATGTGAGTCTATGGTACTGTATGTGAGTCTATGGTCCTCTACGTGAGTCTATGGTACTGTATGTGAGTCTATGGTACTGTATGTGAGTCTATGGTCCTGTATGTGAGTCTATGGTACTGTATGTGAGTCTATGGTACTGTATGTGAGTCTATGGTCCTGTATGTGAGTCTATGGTCCTGTATGTGAGTCTATGGTACTGTATGTGAGTCTATGGTCCTGTATGTGAGTCTATGGTACTGTATGTGAGTCTATGGTACTGTATGTGAGTCTATGGTCCTGTATGTGAGTCTATGGTCCTGTATGTGAGTCTATGGTCCTGTATGTGAGTCTATGGTACTGTATGTGAGTCTATGGTACTGTATGTGAGTCTATGGTCCTGTATGTGAGTCTATGGTACTGTATGTGAGTCTATGGTCCTCTATGTGAGTCTATGGTACTGTATGTGAGTCTATGGTACTGTATGTGAGTCTATGGTACTGTATGTGAGTCTAAGGTCCTGTATGTGAGTCTATGGTCCTGTATGTGAGTCTATGGTCCTGTATGTGAGTCTATGGTACTGTATGTGAGTCTATGGTCCTCTACGTGAGTCTATGGTACTGTGTGTGAGTCTATGGTACTGTATGTGAGTCTATGGTCCTGTATGTGAGTCTATGGTACTGTATGTGAGTCTATGGTCCTGTATGTGAGTCTATGGTACTGTATGTGAGTCTATTGTCCTCTACGTGAGTCTATGGTCCTCTACGCGAGTCTATGGTACTGTATGTGAGTCTATGGTACTGTATGTGAGTCTATGGTCCTGTATGTGAGTCTATGGTACTGTATGTGAGTCTATGGTCCTCTATGTGAGTCTATGGTACTGTATGTGAGTCTATGGTCCTGTATGTGAGTCTATGGTACTGTATGTGAGTCTATGGTCTTATATGTGAGTCTATGGTACTGTATGTGAGTCTATGGTCCTCTATATGAGTCTATGGTACTGTATGTGAGTCTATGGTACTGTATGTGAGTCTATGGTCCTCTATGTGAGTCTATGGTACTGTATGTGAGTCTATGGTACTGTATGTGAGTCTATGGTCCTGTATGTGAGTCTCTGGTCTTCTACGTGAGTCTATGGTACTGTATGTGAGTCTATGGTCCTCTACATGAGTCTATGGTCCTCTACATGAGTCTATGGTCCTGTATGTGAGTCTATGGGCTTCTACGTGAGTTTATGGTCCTCTCTGTGAGTCTATGGTCCTCTCTGTGAGTCTATGGGCTTCTACGTGAGTCTGTGGTCTTCTAGATGAGTCTATGGTCTTCTACGTGAGTTTATGATCCTCTCTGTGAGTCTATGGTCTTCTACGTGAGTTTATGGTCTTCTACGTGAGTCTATGGTCCTCTATGTGAATCTATGGTCCTCTATGTGAATCGATTGCCCTCTATGAATCTGCGGTCCTCTGTGTAAGTATGTTGTCCTCTTTGCGAGTGTATGTCCATATATGTGAGTTTATGTTCATCTATGTGAGTCTGTGGGCCTCTGTGTGTGTGTCCGTCACCACATCACCTAGGACGTGCTTGGCAATCATCAGGCGTGTGAAGTTTGCAACCACTTAATTTGTACTTGAACGGAGATAATTTCAGTGAAAATGTAATTGACAAATCAAGGTGAAGTAACACAACGAAGAGGCTAAGACAATGCCACTTGATACCATTGGTGCTTCTGATAAATGTTGTTGATGTTGACAATCGACCCCTGAAGTCCAAGGTCCACTCACAAGATCACCCATCATCACCACCAGCACCAACAGCACGTGACTTTGGGACTTCCTTTTGGTCACCGAGCTCTGGGTGCCACCGGTTTTCTCTCCAATAATTGTATTTATCAGTTGTAATGTTTCGACCTTCTCCCAGCAGATGGCGGTGTTGACTTACTTGTGGTGCTGCAGTAGAGTTGGTGCTCGTGGTCCACTCAAAACCGCACTAAACCATGGCAGTGGACGCGGGGATACCTGATGCACGATGAATGAAAAACTCTCCAGTGTGCGACTGTGGTCATCCAGAACAGACTGTACAGCGTACGACGACGCAATTCCCGATCCACAATTACGAAGGAGACATCACGGCCATACACTCCGCTGCTCTTGACCCCGTCATCTGGCTTGACCACCTGAATGTGAAATTGTAGTTGCTGCTCTGCATCTATGTAAGCCGTACGAAAGAAGAAAAATAAGTGTAGTTTGTGGCAATTCCCTGGGTTTCTCACATTGAGCACCCCAGTTGATTCTCACAACTCCAGTCGATGCATCCACCCCAACCTATCTTGCCTTAAGCAAACACGTGACTTTGCCTTAAATAGAACAAAGTGAAGAATTGACATTTTGGGGTGATATCCCTTCTTCACAGGACATGGCCTTTCCCGTGCTGTAAAGAGAGGCCAGTGGCAGAAATGTCACCTTTGATACACATTTTCTTTGTAAGGCCACAGCGCTATTGGCGAATGCGTGTGAGTTTGTCGTTAATTGTGCGCACCACTCCCAAAGCAGCAGTCGCAGCATCATCACTAGATACAGGTAGTCCCCGACTTACGATGGTCCCCGACTTACGATGGTCCCCGACTTACGATATTTCGATCTTACGATGGCGATAGCGATACGACACAATTGTAAAATATTTTTAATTTTCGCACGGCAGGCAAACGCAGCAGCGTACAAGGTACGAATCTTGGCGAGTACAGTACAATATGATACGTTACGATACGTTCAATGCATGTATGATACGTAGCTTTAGCGATTTCATTTTAGGGTCACCACGATACATACGTTCAATGCATGGTAAAAGTTTTTTTTAGCAGATAGGATTGTTTCCTGAAAAAAACTTTCTATGAAATTGCAGTTCATATAGGTAGGCTAAGAATTTTACCGTGTTTTTTACTTAAAATTGTACTGTGCAATACAGTATTGTAATTAATAAATACATACAGTATATAGTTTATACAGTATGGTACTGTAAACACTCTGTTTTGCTAAATTATCACCATTCTTTAAGACTCCTGAGTAGGCTAGGCCATTTTCGACTTACGATATTTTCGACTTACGATGGGATCATTGTAACGCATCTCCATCGTAAGTCGGGGACTACCTGTATATTATTTACGCCATTAAACGAGTGTTTAAGTTAGAGGAGTTGCATGCTTTGTGAATGGGAGGTTGGTTAAAAAACAGTTTAACCGCAATGATGTGAGTTTGTGAACCTCGGCCTATCGCTCGTTGAACCAAACTAAGGCATCGTAACTTTTTTCCCGCGTCATTTTATTGGCTTGGCATTGGCAGTGCCTTGCGGCGTTTCGTAGAGTGAGTGGTGTGGGAGATGTCGTGTCCGCTGTGTGTTGTGTGACATGTAACTGGTGGACATGAGCGTGTCAATGTTAGTGGTGTTCACGTGATGTGTATGTGTTGTTTGTGTTCGGTCCTACATAAGGTTATGCATATATACCACATGGGTGTGTATGTACTGTGTTGAATGGAAACTTAAGTGGTGCAACTTCGTACGTGGTTTGTGTGGTGTGTGTTATGTGCTGTGCCGTATGCGCTCTCGCGAGTGGTATTTATGTGTTGCGGCGTGTGGTACATCTTGAACTGTCTTGTATATGTCCTGCACTGTGCGGTATATTTTCTGTGTTGTCGACTACATGTCCTATAGTGTGTGGTATACATCCTCTGGTCTATAGTCTGTATCGTGTGCGTTGTGGTATATTCCCTGTGGTCTACAGTGTAAATCGTGTGCTGTGCGGTATATGCCACGTGCTGTATTGTGTACATTCTCGATTGTGTGTGCTGTAGTGTGTGGTATTTGTCCTGCGGTGCGTACTGCGGCCTCCGTGCTGTGTGTTGTGGTGCACAGTGCACACGCCGGGGTGCGTTGTGTACACTCCGTGCTGTTTTGTGCTCGCCAGCAGGGTGGCTCTGATCCATCAAGCGTGGCACGCCAAGGTGCCGACATCGTGATGTCTCTGCTGAGGGATCGGAGTGCGGCCCTCGCCGGACAGGTCCTGGTGGTGTGAGGAGCGGAGAGAGAGACCGTCGCTTGCGCGGGGACAGCGGCGGGGTCACGACACTGTGAGAACGCGGGACACCGGAGCAAAGACTGGAAGACCACAGGAGTCACGGAGAGAGGAAAAACATTGGTATCCCACCGTTTCACAAATGATACTTGCAAGCCGGTGCCGCGAGAACACCTTGTGCCACGAAGGGACACTTGCCCCACTGGGTATTCCCTTGGCTGGTTCGACAGCCTTTGGGAAATTGACTGGTCGAGATGACAAGTTAGGCAAGGCACATCTTTGAGGAATTTAAATGCCCTATAAATGTAAATCCACATTCCTTCAATGAGTAAATGCAAAACCAATCAGAATGTCTGTGCTTAGTATCATGGGTATGGGAACACGGGAGCCAGTCTTGGGGAAAGCTGCCCCCCATAAACTTTTGATGAGGGGTGCCAAATGCCCTGTGTCCCCCCCCCCCCACATAGATATGCTTCATGGCCCCCCTTAGCCACCCGACATCATAAAGCGATGTAACATTGACTTCCAATGACGATTCGATTCGAGAATCACATTAACTGCATTTGTATCGTAGGGACTTTTAGCGTCTCTAGCGGTCGCAGGATTTATGTGAAACGTTCACCACGTGCGACGGGCACGGTTGCACGTGTCGTGAGTGTGACGATCGTGTTTTAAGTGGTTAATCGCTGCGTGCCTGCCAGACATGCGTCCCTGCGATAGCTTCCCAGCCCCTCTGCACCTCCACAGCCAAACACCTCAACAATCATCTCCATGAGTCTTTGAATGATTATTTTTTTGGCCCACGGATTGGTGTGCAGCGGAATGCCTTCCTGCTTGTTCACAGTTGAGGATTCTCAAGGCCATCGACGGTATTTAACTATTTCACCATGGGGACCATGTGCTAAGTGAGTTAGGGGTTTTTTGTTGTTGCGTGTGGTTAAGTCACGTTCACTGAAGTGACTTCATTGAGAATAACCAAGTGTTTGAGGGGCATCTGAGATAAAAACTTGATAATGCACAACAACTCTTTGTCACGAAAGTAAGATCAAGTGGACGGAAACAAGTGGTTCATGGCAATAGCAACTATGAGGAATGTATTTTAAAGTCGACCAACGATGCTATCAGAGATCTTCATAACAGCAATATAAATGGGGGTTGTCAAGTTGTTCCAGGATAACCCTCTGCTGACGTTTTACACTATTTTACCACAGACTGGGCACTAAGTGAAACGTTTTTACATTTGAAAAGAATATTCACTTAAGTAACTACTATAAATTTTGAATAGCTGCGCACACTGGTACACTGCATTACCTTGGGGCTGAACACCAACTAATTTTATTTCTATATATACGCTAGAAAGTCGAAGTCACTGACATGATCGTTCACTTTGAAGGCCAAGCAGGGTCGCCATCTCTCCCCGTTTCACAACTCCTCCAGCTACGTTATCTCCCCATCTGGCAGATCTTCTTCAGCATCTCCGCAATGCACCTACACCGAACCAAGCAGGAGTAGCTAGTCCCACCGCCCCCCCCGCCCCCTCCCCCCGGCTTCGAGCGCCCCTTCCACCACTGTAAATCTCTGTCTCCCACCGCAGAGAGAGATTTACAGCGACTGACTTTTGTTTGGCATTGTCCAATGTCTTCAAAAGTTGGCTCTCAACGGCCGCAAGTGCCCCCCCTCCCCCCCGCCCCTGCGTGTGTCAGACTGCCGTTGGCTCCATCGCCCAAAGCTCAGCACAGAGAGTTTCACAATGTGCCGGACGGTTGACCTTTTCTGTAGTTTGTATCGTGAGCACCAAGGCATACGTGGTACTGTTTCCGTCTCTTTTATACCATCATCATCACTGGTATTATTACTACTACTACTGTCAGTGCTGTATATGCCAATAGACCCGACTTTGAATGGTACTTCATAATAGGTACTCTGTGGGTAAATGGTAGAGTTTTGTGTTGAGGTTTTTTTTTTATGACACTAACAGGGTTCAATTTGGTGCATTGTGTATTAGGCATGTGGCGATGCTTCGATTCGTCGTTTAGCATCGATTCCCGCGCTCACCATACGCTCATGCAACAATCGATGTTTTATCAATATGTAAAATCACCTGGGGATAACATCTTTTATATATGGAACATCTCGTTTGCAAGTGTGTCCAGGGTGTTAGTTGAAACATGGCACGCGTGTAATGACACGAATACAAACATCGTTTGCTTTTCGCGATTTATGCAAATTATGATCAATACATGTACTGTATGGCCAATCGCTTACTCCCGCTGCTTTGTTCTAAACGAATGCACAAGCGAGACACCAAAACAATGCAAACGAGATGGTACAAATTGTACAAGGGGACATTGATCCTTGAATCGAATTATGACGATCAATCACGAGCGCAACGTAAGGGGTGGTTTTGAGTGGTCGGTGTCAATGGTTATATGCCTATTATGCATCCTCCGCACGAGATTAGAGCGAGGGTTTCTGGAGGTGGGGTATGGGCAGCGTGGGTTGTTCTAAGAAAATCGTTCACACTTGTGCATGAAATGTGTCAAATGATGCGGAACATCCACGCCGGCGGGGAATGCATGTGAATGACCGCGCCTTGCCTCTGCCATACGGAAGCGCAGTGGATTTGCACTCGGGGGTGAAAAAGAAACTGGGAGCCGTCTGTGATGAAGTGGGCACTCAGGAATACAAAACGGCCCGTGACTTGAATAAAAATCTTGCTGTCAACATGGCTTGACTGGCGTAGGAGGTACATTGCTACCAGTGGGTGTTGATTCCTAGTCGTTGCATATACACTACTGACGCGCACGCGTGCAAAAGCGACTTACGTGCAAAGGGAAGGGCACCGCTGGTTGACTTGGCCAATTTGCAACGGTGAGCACCTCTCGCTGAATTGGAGCCATGTTGCATGCCGCGTGAACGTTTGAAGATTAACGCGTCTGTCCCTACTGTACGTTTCTCACTTGAACCCTTGTTTTTGCGTCGTTTGCATGACACCTCAATAAAGGTTCTGTTGTTTCCGCCACCACTCTAGGTCCTGCTGCTGCACTGAACGCCGAAACAAGTTGGCGTATTGCCAATTATCGTCGAAGTATGAATGGCTCGGTGCGCACGTATTTTGGAAAGTCGACTCGTTTTAATTGGTGAAGCTCAGCTCGATTTACGTGCATCTCGGAGTGTGCGTTCCTCCACACAGGTTTGTGAGTGTTGGTTTGCATGACACGTTTGTGGTTAGTTCATCCCCAGGAATGGGCAGTCTGATGTTCAGAAAGGAGAGGCTGCCTTTTGTTATTAACCAAAGTCAATGTTACCGTTGGATGACAATTGTGAACGCGTTGAAATTAAGGCATGCCGTTCTTCTTTGGAGCAAGATGGAACGCCCGCGCACGTCATCGATGTTTCTTACGAAGAAGTCGGCGTCCGTGCCTTATGCTGTTGAACGATGTATTGTTCCAAATGCCCCACAACTGGTTGGATTAGCTCGGGCCCATGCGTGTGCCCTTGGCCACATTGTGGGTGTCGTGTCGGCCACTTGGTTGTGAAATGATTGTGTGAGCACGAGTTTGGCCAACCGCAACAGTGGTGTAGTTGACCCGGGGTTTGTTCAACCCAGGTGTTGAAGGATTGTCTACGTTGCCTTGAAGCCGTCATGATTTGGAATGACGGTGTAGAGCGAACTTAAGTCCATTGTGAAATCCAAACGTTGAGGACCTGTGAATCTAAGGTTGCTTGAAGAGCTGTAGGTTTCATGGTTGGTTACTTTAACGTAGGTTGTAATGTACGTACAAACGGAATAATTGTCCAAATAGCTAGATATTAGCCCAGGAGGACAACTTCATGCTGATACAGTCGAGCGGCCTGGGTTCTTTGCTTTGTTTACTTTCGGTATAAAGTAGATGGTTGGTGTCCAAGGAATTTGAATGATGAGGTTATTGGCAGTCTCGGATCGGGCACCCTGACTCACAAGCGAATCAAAATCTTTATTTAGACTGGAGGAATATGATGAGCTGTGAAGCTCTTTTTTCAAATATGTCCAGTGTCTGAGTGCTTGCGGGTGGCTCGCTGCAAAGTTATGGTCGGCTTTGGGGGTAAGAGGAAGTGTTGCTCGGTTATTGGAATTCTTCCACCCTATGTAGATCGGTCCACCAGAACACTGTTGAGCCCCTTTCTTCAGCCGGTTTCATAACGAAGTCATCACTTGACTAGAGAGAGTTGCTGAGAGCTTCTATCTCAGCACGAGTTAGGTTGAATATTGCCCATCGTGTTGCATTGGAACGAGGCAACTCGCAGCTGTATTTGGTGAAGGAGGCTACTGAACTCTCCAGCCAAAGCGTCCACAGAGAGGCATTTTACGGCGGAGTCTGTGGACGGGAGCAGCGAAGTCGGGGTGGTCCGTAACTTGAGGTCCGTGTAACGTCGTAAAAGGTCCTTGAGTGGGTTTGAGATGTCCAGATTGGCTCGAAAATAACTTGGGGCCTGAAACAAAAACATAAAAATATTCCGCTTTGTTAGAAATTTCAAATTTATGTTGTACACGTAAAATATTCCGCCCAATATTCCAAAATAAACATTGCACCATGTTTCTGTCGATTAATATTTATCCAGACTCAAAAATATCGTTGTCAATGCCAACATTTTAAAGCAAATTTAACTAATTCCAAAAAGGGCAGAATTAAGTATATCGAGGCGAGGCTGCGGTTAGGGCTAACACTAGGTGCTGGTTGGTGAGTTAGGATTAGGGCTAACGCTAGGTACTGGTTGGTGAGTTAGGATTAGGGCTAACACTAGGTGCTGGTTGGTGAGTTAGGATTAGGGCTAACGCTAGGTACTGGTTGGTGAGTTAGGATTAGGGCTAACGCTAGGTACTGGTTGGTGAGTTAGGATTAGGGCTAACGCTAGGTGCTGGTTGGTGAGTTAGGATTAGGGCTAACACTAGGTGCTGGTTGGTGAGTTAGGATTAGGGCTAACACTAGGTGCTGGTTGGTGAGTTAGGATTAGGGCTAACGCTAGGTACTGGTTAGGTTAGGTCTAACGCTCGGTGCCGGTTGATTGATAGGGCTAACCCTAGGTGCTATTTGGTTTTTAGGGTTAGGGCAAACGCTAGGTGCTTGTTGGTGACTTGGGGTTGGGGCTGACGCTGGGTGCTGGTTGGTTGGTTAGGGTTGACGCTGGGTGCTGGTTGGTTGGTTAGGGTTGACGCTGGGTGCTGGTTGGTTGGTTAGGGCAGGATTAGTGTTTGCTTTGCTGTTATGTGTCAACCTGAACATAGAGGGCGGGTTGAGCCCCTTTCCCCTGCTGAAGACTCGCCCCCCTCCCCCCCCCCTTCTAAAATCTAATTCTGTAAACTCTAAAATGTGAGGTTAGAGCTCGCACACAATTCATGCTAAACACAAGCAGGTCACATCCATACTCGTTCTGTTGAACGTTTAACGTTATTTTAGAGGTTCAACATTCACCGTGTCGGTGCCCCCACGCCCTTGAGTTTATATCTGCCCCACCCTCTCTCAATTGGCAAAGCGCTGTATGGCCATTTCACTCATTTAATGTTGAGAGGGTTCGGCCAGTGGTGCTGTCCGATCAGAGGGTATTGGACCACGCGAGAGGCTGACGAGAGGGGAAGACGGTTACCTAATTCTAGATTTGAAGCTTTCGTGACTGCAAGGATTCATAGTCTTTGGTTTTATTCGGTAAAGTCACGTAGATAAAATAAAACAAAATAAAACAATTAAATCACGACGTTTCGAAGGCAACACAAGCTTCCGTCTTCAGGTGGAAAAGTCAACGCAGAATATCTGTGTCGCTCCTGACACAGATATTCTGCGTTGACTTTTCCACCTTAAGACGGAAGCTTGTGTTGCCTCCGAAACGTCGTGATTTAATTGTTTTATTTTGGTTTAATTTTATCTACGTGACTTTACCGAATAAAACCAAAGACGGTTACCGTAGATGTTTTGAGCTGGCCGAGTAGAATCCTGAGTGTATCGATTATCCAAAGATCGAGCAGCGGAGAGAAATAATACTGGAAGATAAATCAGCGGGTGGAAAAGATACAGGAGAAAAGACTGCAATAGTTTGGACGTAATCGTAATTTACATTCGTAAGGTGTTTTTTTTCGTCCTTAGATCCCAACGCCCCATCTTAAATGGAAAACAGGAAATAAACAGAACCAGGGTAAATGGCCAGAACTTGATTGCCTTGTTAGTATAGGCAAATCATTGGAAAGCCTGGCAGCTGCACCGGCAAAAGCCCGATGACCCCAAGAACAGAGCCTTCACCTTGGGAGTACTTCGAAGAAGGCAATCCGAACATCTCAGGGACCTCGTTGGAGCGTAAAAATGAATCGGTTCCTGCAAATATTTTGGGGCTAACCGAATGAGTGGACCAGACAGGATCGTGGTGATTAGGGACACCGGGCTGCACAGGAACTGCGCTGTGACAAAGGGGCTCGACAATAACCACGGGCTGTGAAAGAATTTCCCTTGTTATTCGCGAACTTGCCGTCCGCTGTTTTAGCAATCCGTGAATCGCATCTTGAGCACTACACGACTGCATCGAGAAAGCGACGAGAGAGAAAGCGATGAGATTAAAGAGATGAGAAGGATACGTGATTTCCATGTATTATCTTGTTCATGTATTTATGGTTATTCATTAACAAGATAGGTTTCCGTAGGCCGATAACATCCGCGAAATTTGCTATTCACGAGCATCTCCGAAATGTATCCCTCGCTAATAACGAGGGTATCCTTGCACATGCATACATAGCCGTCGTCTGCCCCCCGATACACCAACGCCCTGTGTCGCCGGGTAACGGTGATTAATCGGAAGTTTTGCGAGTTCTAATCCGAGATGGCCCTTCGTAAGTAATTCTGTATTGAGACTTAGAATATAGACCAAAAGAACCCTGGGGCCAGCAGGAGAGATTGGTCCAGGAGATGCAACACACACGCGCGCGCACACAGAGAAGTCTTCGGTTTGGACTTGCCAATAGAATGGGGAGGCCAACAAAATGACCGTCGGTGCTGGCCTTGAGCACTGCCACGTGGATGTAACGGGAAGTTGTAGTGGTGGCCTGGCAGGCGCAAGTGGCGGGTTGACGGCGTAACGGAGAAACTTTCAAGAGAGAAATGTAGGCCTTCGGGAGGCGATCGCTGTGACCAGAGGAAGGAAGGAAAGGAAGTATTCCATCCAGCTCCATAGTCAGCTGCCTTGTTACGTCTGACAGGAGATATATATAATATTTGTTTGGGGTGAATGTGTAGCTATGTACATATTCACATTTTAATTTAAAAACATCATCTTGGTCGCTCTGCTATGTTATTTTGTCATCTTGATAGATTTTTAAATATAATATTCATACTTTCTCTACGCTATATATTTTGCGGGGTACTTTACTTTCGTCTCGCGGGCCTTCTTCGCCTGCTTATGAATAAAGTTTTACGTGCGCGCACGTGCATTTCGGGTCAGGGCACACAGAGAGCACGTCCCCCCCCCCCCCTGCAAACCCAGCACGGTGCACAGCTGGCATCCTGAAGCGTGGCCTGCAGGTGGGCGCAAGCGGGTGGGAGATGGAGGGGAGGGGTGAGATGGGGGGGGGGGACCCAGCGGCGTGGTAATGAGTGCGGCTTGTCTAATGCTTTTAGTCTGAAAAGAGGAAATTAGATCCTCGAGTAGGGAAAGTGCCACTTACACGCATTGCTTCTAGTCGAGGCTTTCTCCTATAGCAGGAGGCGCGGGGGGGGCGCAGTGGGGATGGAGTGGTTGCGTGTGTGTGAGTCTGTGGGGATATGGATGGGGAGCGGTAGTGTAGCGGTTAGCACGCTGCGCTGCGAACCTAGCGACCCGGGTTTAATTCACGCTCACGGCCATCACCAGTGACGATTGTTTGAACTGTTCCTGGGCCTCCCCTAGGTCGACTCAGCCTCAAATGAGTACCTGGTGCGGTGTGTAAACATCGCCACTGGGGAGACAAAGGCGGCCGGGCGTGGTGCTGGCCACCCACCCCTTCGTGTGCCGTGCTTGCCTTCATAG